GTTACATACCACGCCTAAGTATGACAAGTACAATACGCTCCACGCGACGTTATTTTTTGTATATTTGAAATTTTTATATTTTGTTAACATATTTTTACCCTGGGGTTACTGGCGCCAAGATAACAACATTTAGCATGCCATCCTAAAAGATACAATGTGAGCCTATAGGGTGGCATGTAACCCAGGGCGTGCTATCATATAGGATAACATGTTGCATTTTATGATAACATGTTATCCTATGTGATGTATGTCGCCCTCGCACCCGAAATTTCGGATAACAAAAGATAGCACATGATAACAAGCATATAAGACATAACATTGTGAGGAACTGATGGTACTTGCGGTACTTACCAGGGTCCAAGGTGTACTTACTCCTCTCACCACCACCGCCATCTCACAATCTCGCTCCCCAGGCCTCCTCATCATTCCCACGAGTGGTCGCCGTCGCTTACGCTCGCGGGCGATCGTCATCGCCGCGCCATTCCCCTCGGCACCCCTCGCCGCCGCCCCTCTCAAGCGATCGACATCGCTACGCCCTCCCATCCGCATCTCTCACCGCCGCCCCGCCCAAGCGATCGACATCGCTAACCCAAGTGACGGTCATCGCTTACCCAGGCGATCGGCATCGCTGCGCACTCCGCGATCAACGCCCATCGTCACCGCTCCCCCCCCAAAAAAAAAACGACTGGCATCGCTAATCAAGCGATGGGCATTGCTACCTCCAAGCGATTGCCATCGCTCCGCAACCGATCAGCGTCGCTACACCCCCCCTCAGCATCCCACGCCGCCGCTCCGACCAAGCGATCGACATCGCTATCTCAAGCGATAGGCATCGCTCACCCACGCGCTCGACATCAAAGCGATCGCCATCGCTTCCCCCCCCTCCTTCTCTTCCTCCGCCTCGCCCTCCCCGCGTTCACCCCCCCTCGCAATATAGTTTTACGCGTGGCCGCGCGGCCGCCGTCGCCGCGGCGGCGGGCGCGGCGGGCGGCGCGGGGCCGACGGGAACGCCCGCCGCGGCGACGGGCGCGGCGGGGCGGCGGGCGGCCGACGGGAACGCCCGCCGCGGCGGCGGGCGCGGCGGGGCGGCGGGCGGCAGCGGCAGCGCTGCCAGCGCTGCGGGGCGGCGGGGCGGCGCGGGGAGGCAGCCTAGTGACAGTTGAGGCCCGGGCGACGATCTGCTGGATGCATGGAGGCCGAATGGCTATCCACTTGGTGCCATCGCCAGCTAACCGTTCAGCTTCCCGGCGTCCATCAGTTAATCGCTCGGCCCCCAACTGCGGCGCAACCTCGGAGGGCGCGCGGCCGCGTCGCCTGCTCGACGTCGGCGCGCGCTGAAGCCAAGCTCGCCGCTTCGCGCTGGAACGCGGAAGCTGATTTGCTGCGCGCGTCCGCCGCCGTCTCCGCGCGGCTCTCGGCCCTCCTGACGTGGCCCAGGATCTGCTCGGCCGCGCCCGCGGAGAGCGCCGCGGACGCCGCGCCCACGGACATCGGCGCCATCGGCGCCATGGCCTCCTTGAGGATGGTGACCGCGTTCGACGAAGACCCAGCAGCCACGGCGCTCGCCACCGCCGCCGCCGTCTCCTTGAGACTCTCCGCCGTCTCACGAAGGGGGCGGAGCAGCTCTGCGGGCGGCGGCGCCGCCGACGCCGACTTCGCGCGGAGGCCGCCGCTGCCGACTCTGCGCGTCGGCGAGCGCGGGGCGCGCGGCGAGCGCGCCTCGGGCGCCGCTGACGGCGGCGCGGCCTCCTCGCGCTTGACGCGACGGCGGTGGCGCTTGCGCGATCTCGATCGCGACTCTCGCGTGGGCTCCGCGGAGGCGCATGCTGCGCCTGCTGCGCCTGCTGTCTCGGCCGTCTTCTTGGCCCCCCCACGCGAGCCGCTCGTCCACGTCGGCCTGATCGACTGGATTAGCGGTCGCATCGCCGATCATGTCGGCCCGCTGCCAATCGCCGATGCAACGATGGCTCTCAGCGGCCGAGTTCTTCAGGTGCTCCTCGCACCAGAGGAAGCACTCTCGCGGCGACTGCTTGAAGCACTTTTTCGCGCAGCCTGGGGCCGCGCGCCCGAGGCGGCGCCGGTGCGACCTGCCCACCGCCGCCGCCATGCCACGAGCTCCTGGCGTTGCTGCTAGAGCTGCTGTCGCCGCTGCTGCGGCGGTGATGATGCTGCTGCTGCTGCTGCTGTCGGTGCTGCCGACGGTGGCGTTGGCAGCTGCGGCTGCTGCTGCTGCCGCGGCTGCCGCCGCCGCCGCCGGTGCCGCCCGCCGCCCGCCGCAGGCCGCGATGCCGCCCGCCGCCCGCCGCGGGCCGCGACGCCGCCCGCCGCAGGCCGCGCGCGGGGATAGAGCCAACAACGACAATGCTATGATGCGCTATCGTTACACGGTCAGGAGCGAGACCGACACGCGGATCAGGGACAGGATCGAGACGACGCGACGGGCCAGGCGAGGTGTGGAATCGGGCATACTCCTCGTTCGTGTCTATCGAATGGAAGCGATCCCTTTCATATTGTAAATCGCTCACATCCTCACTCTGCCCACGCAGCGCATACTGCACTGAGTGCTCGGCGCCCAGACGTTCGGCAACTGACGTTTCGATGGGGATACGATCCAACATCTGTTCAATTTCGAGATCTATGTCGATCGATGGCTGAGAGCCAGGGCGCGCCGACACCAACTCAGAGGGTCCCTCGGCGGAAGTTTTGACTGTGCCATACCTTCCGCTCGAGTGTTTTTTTATTGTCACTGAATCAACCGACGCATCCCCTTTTGTCAAGTCGAACGTGCTTGCTGACGCTTTCTCACCGGGAAGGTTAGGAAGATTTTGTCGAATCGGCGTTTATGAGCGCGTTACGCTCGGAAGGTTGTTGATCTTCTGTTCGCCCGAGCGCTCGTTCTTGAGATCCCATGCTCTGCGAAGCGAACGGATGTGCCGTCGCTTCGGATGGTTGCCAGTCTTTTGCCTGGATATTCATAATCCCTGCAATCTGTTCCGATGATATCGCATGGTCACTGGGCTCCGTAAATTACACGGGTAATAAGGGATAGTGCCGTCAAGCATACACTAAGGTAGCACTGAAGGGAAGAAGGCCGACCCGCCGACCGACGCACGCGCGCGCGCCGCAGGCTCGCTCCTTTTTTCCCGTTTCCCTAGAGCCAAAGCTTATTGTTGCGGGAGCAGAAGAAATCAGTCATCACAGCAGGTGGGCAGCGCGTGCAAGGAGAGGGAGCAGGCAGGGCGAAAGGATGGTGGTGCGGAAGGGGTGCATTGACTGGACAAACACAGCAACAGTGGAAACAAAAGGGCGCGGCAACGGAAATAAAAAGAAACGCCAAACAGTATCCATATATGATCCGCGGGAGTAGCAGCGTAGCGTGGTGTGTCCGTGTTGCAGGACAGCGCCCTGCGCGCTATGACAGCCAATCGGAAACCCTGACCAGGAGAGACACGGGGCTTTCCTCCACCCCAGGACTCCGACGTCGTATTTTGATCGCAAAGTTCGGCGAAAAGAAACATGCCTTCATAGCGACCTTACGCCGCGGCTAACGCGGGCCTCCAGCGTGGCACGCTACCATTGGAAACGGAGGCTTTCACGCGAAACTTTACGCAGGCAGCAAATGCCCGCGCAAGCGAACCAATTTTTCCCGTCGCTCAGGTGGACGCCCAGGTCGTCCCTGGGACGGCGTTTTTTTCACCCAGAGTCATTATTTGACGGCCCTGGGGCCTGGCCCCCCCGAACGCCGAGAGGTGCCGGCAACCTTGCCTCGCGATTGTTTTCCGCAGCTCGAGGGGCCCAAAGACTTTCGGCCCCCAGATCCCCGAGACTCGAAGAGGTCGGGCCGTCGGCGATCTGGGGCCTGTGGCGGCACCGAGCTCCGAGGCGGAGCCGGCGCACGGGGGCGGGGCGAAGCCAGAGCGGCGGCAGAGGGCGCAACGCGGGGGTACGGGGCTGGGCGGTGCCAGTCTCGTGCGGGGGACGAAAGGTTCGGATAGGAAAGGGAAGAGAAACGAATCAGATCACGTAGCTGTTTTTCCTGGCGCCTGCTGGCGCCGGGAGGCGCCCATGTATCAAGGAATGGGCCTGGCGGCGGGGCGAAAACCAACTGCATGCAGCAGATTTCGAACCTGCCCCTTTCCGAATCCTACCATTTCGCGCGGCCCGAACCTGGAAACTGCAGCGGGAGGAGGTGGCCTTCGAGAGGTGAAACGGAGGGAGGTGACGAGGCGGATGGGAAGAGGGATGAGGGGGATGAGGAGGAGAGTAGAGGAGAGGAGACGCAGGGCGCTGTGTCTTCAGCGGATGGGAGGAGGGAGGAGGGGCAGGAGGAGGGAGGAGAGGAGAGGAAAGGACAGGAGAGGAGAGGAGAGGAGGAGTGACACGGGGCGCTGTCTCTTCAAAACGAGGACCCAATACCGCAGGATGGTTGGGGCAAAAAAAGAAATATAACAAACATAAAGAAAGGAAGAAAGAGAGACCACGATTTCCAACGACTGGATCGTTTCGAGTCTCGGGCCCCTGGACCTCTCAACCCTCTCCCTGGGACTGGCTGTTCGCCCTGAGTCGCTTCTTGACAGTCCCAAGCTCCGAAGCCAAAACCTCAAAGGCCGAGAATACCGAAACACCGTAGACTCCGTATTTTCGTGTCCGTGGAGGTCTGGAAGAGAAGGAATAAAACAGAAAACGCTGCGTAGTCGTAGTCTTTCGCAGGTCCGCGCTGGTTTCTTGGATCTGCGCCGAAACCTCCTCTCTGGCGCGCGGAGCGCGCACGGGTAGGCGCCGGAGGCGCGGGGCCCAACGCCGATCAAAGAAACCCCCACGGAGCTCCGAAAAATCATATTTCGGCAGTGTGTTGTGATCCTTCTTCTACTGGAGAGAGAAGGAGAGAGAGAGAGAGAGAAACACAAAAAAAAAAAGAAACAGAACAGCGGGAAACATGCGCCGCTGCAACTGCGAAAAACAGCGGCCCGCGCTCCAGAGCGGAGCCCGTCCTCGCGGCCCTAAGCGCCGGCGAAGAGCGGGGACGGCTCGCCGTCGTTGGACCGCGCGTGCCAAGCCCGGGCCTCCACAGGGACCAGCACGTCGATCTCGTCGTGGGCGCTGGTGCTGGGGCCCGAGCGGCAGCAGCAGCCCCCCGCCTCGCACGCCTTCCCCGTGGCCGCCAGCCTGGTGCTGATCACCATCGACGTCATCGTCATCCACATCATTGCCAACATCTCGACGTGCTCCTCACAACCTCATCCTGGTCATTATGCTCATGACCATGCTCATCGTCTTCGTCGTCGTCATCGTCACCACCACCACCACCATCATCATCATCATCATCATCACCATCATCATCGTCATCGGCGTCGTCATCGTCATGATCGTCGTCAGCATCGTCATCGCCATCGTCATCATGATAAAGTCGAGTGCGCCATGTGATAGGTATATGTTGGGTACGGTGGAAGATGGGGGAAGTAGAGGTTTTCTTCGCAAACAGAGGGTGCTTACGATGTCCTGGCCGACAGGCCGCGCGTGGCTTGGGCCAGCGCGGCATCTTCAAATGCAACCATCCTGCTTACCCCCAGGCAAAGTCCCCCTTCAGTCTTAATCATTATGGATCGTCCTAGCCGCTGCCGCATCCGCCGCCGTTGTCGCCGTCGCCGTCGCCAACGTCACTAGAGGAACCAAAGATTCCACAAACATAATTGATGAGGTCCTCGCGGACTTTTTGGATCGGCGTAAGAGCTGTAAACCCCCTCCCTAGAGGAGCGCGCCAGGGGAGGCGCCGGAGGCGCCGCCTGAAAAGGCCAAAACGCTGATCCAAAAAATCCGTGCGGATCTCCGGGGGAAATCATATCATGGTATCACCCCGCAGTCGCCGATAAGAGTGATGGTGGCAGCGGTGACGTCGGCAGTCTAAGAGATTCTACGGATGCCCGCCGCAAGCGCCCAATTTTACAAATTATGCAACGAGCCCGCCGCAGGCGCCGATTTCTCGGTAAAGCAAAGCGGGTGCATCGCGGGCCGGGTCGCGGGTGGGTCGAAGGTGGGTCGCAGGTGGATCGCGGGTGGGTCGCGGGCCGGGTCGCGGGTGGGTCGCGGGTGAGTCGCGGGTGGGTCGTGGGTTGGACGCGGGCGGGTCGCGGGCGGGTCGGGGGGTGGGTCGCGGGTGGTTCGCGGGTGGGTAACGGGGTGGGTCGCGGGTGGGTCGTGGGCAAGGTCGCTGGGGGGACGACGACAACAAAGAACAACAGGAGCAACAACAACAACAAGAATAGGGACGTTCCTGGACGCCCTTGGCGAGGGCGACGGCCGGAGCCCCTGGCTCTGGGGGGAACAAACCTTTTCCTGAAGCCTTTCCCCAGGGCGGCCCGCCCCCCAACAACAACAAAACAATAGCAACAACAAAAAGAACAACAGCAATAGCAATAACAACATCATCGGTCAGGTTCAAATATGAAAAAACCTTCTCGCTGTCTCGACACAGCAGGAAGACTCGCTCTCCCGACTTGCATGCGCACGCAAGCGAAGCGCGCTTCCAATGGCAAGGCTTCTTCTCTCTCTCTCTCTCTCTCTCTCTCTCTCTCTCTCTCTATATATATATACTCATTACAAAAAATACGCAATCGGGATTTCTTCATACGGATTCCATCGTAAAGATTCCTTACGGAGAAATCCTTACGACGGGTTCCATAATAAGGATTCCTTGCGTAAGGGTCCTTACAAAAGAATCTTTCGTAAATATTTAGTCGTCTTGATTCCTTGCCAAGTATTCCTTGCTACGGATTCTTTGGTGCAGACCTCTTAACAAGGATTCGTTAATGAAGACCACTCTTAGAAATATTCGACACGAAGAACTCCTCAATACATATACTCAAGTATGGACTCCGCAGTCAGGATTCCTTACTAAGGAGATATGGTCCATATTCGTTCATGAAAACCCCTTGGTACACACTATGTGGTCCTTAAGACATATTCCGGAATAAAGACCCCCTCCTAAATATTCTTTACTCATGACTTGTTTCGTAAATGTTCAGTATTCAAACTTACGTTGAAAAGATTCCGTACTCCTGGAAACTTCATAGACAATTTCATTTCAGTGATTTTCTGAAACATGAACTGCTATGTTCCTTAATACAGGTTCCTGTCTCCGGACTCCTTGGTAAGATTCCTTCGCACATGGGTTTAAAAACAATCCCGTACTCAAGATTTATTCATACATACTCCTGACAAGGGATTCCTTCGTACATGTTCCTTACTACAGTGTTCCTAAAGATTTTTTCGTCTCGACGCAGCGATTACTGTACACAGTTTCGACTTCGGCGCTCAGAAGCACTGGGCGAATTTCTGGCGTCCCGGGGACATACATACGGTTTGGTCGGTCACACCGGTTCAAGCTCCATGAGCGACCACGTAAACTTAAAAGCCACATAACTACGAATGGCAGGAGGAAGCGGAGGACGAACGGGCAGGAGGGCGAGGGAGGAAAAGGAGGGGAGAGAGGCGGGCGAACCAACCGAGACACCAGGAGCAACGCTCAGGCCAACCTGCAATAGGCGAGCCGTTGCGCGCAGCAAGGGGGACGGGCCAAAACGGCATAGTTATATGACTACATGAGAAAGAGCCCCGTGAACGATCACGCGACCCTACAACCCGAAGGGCACTCGGAAATCCCCCACGAGTGCAGCTCCACACGGAGCGAATCTTAAAGTACCTTAGTACAGAATCATCACTGAAAAATTCCTTCGTGAGTATTCCCCACTGAAGATTCCTTGGCACGCCTTCCTAGGTAAAAACTCCTTACGAAAAAAGGGTTCCTTCAAAAAGGGTTCCTCAGCAAAGGTTCTTCACGAACGACCCCTCACCCAGGATTCCGGACCAAACATGTTTTCTCATTGATTATTTCGCAATGGTTCCTTTGGAAGGATTCCATACGAAGAATTCCTAAAGACATCGATTCCTAACTAAGAAACCCTTACACGGGCGTCTTTAAGACAACTCCTTGCGAGGGATTTGTTTAATCAGGACCTTTCAATAAGGACTCCTGATCAAAAATGTAACTTCGTGAATATTCCCGAATAGCGATCTATTGCTAAGGGCTCTTTCCGAAAAAAAGTGTTCCGCAATAAGAAAGCCTCAGTAAAGATCCCATCAGTAAGTCATTTCCAGGAAAGATCTCACATGAAAGAGTCCAGAACCGAGGGTAGATACTAAAGCGCCCGGAGTAAGGACCCCTTGGGAAACACTCCTTCCCACAGAATCATTAGTACATATTGTGTGCGATGGGTTCCTTCATGCACATTTCATGACTAAGGAACCCATGCGAAAATATTCCGTACGAGTGGCTCCGCTTGAAAGTATTCAGTAATCAAGATTCCTTGGCTCGGGTTCCTTGACAAAGACCCCTTGCTAATAATTCCGTAGGGCGGACCCCTCGGCACATATTCGTGCGTAGCTACCATTTAGTACAAATTCGTGAATACAACCTCCTCAACGAATACACCTTAGTGCATGTTAATTACTCAGGATTCCCCGAATAAAGATTCCTTAAGAAACAAGTACGCATTACGGAGTCCTTCGAGTGGACTCCTTAATGAAGCCTCAGCCATGAAGAACTCCAAAGGTTCTTCACTATAGGGTTCCTTATTTAAGACTCCTCAGTGCGGGTTTAGTAAGGCTTCTTCACCACGGACTCCTTGCTAACTATTCCCGAACACGCATCTCTTAGGTCACGAATCCTTCGTGCAAATATATTGCTGAAGATTCCTCCGCATCGATCCCCGCGTCGATCCCCGCGCAACCATCAGATTCCTCCTCCTCCTCCTCCTTCTCCTCCTCCTAGTTCGCGTTCGCCTCCTCAGCCTCCGCCTCCTCCTCCTCCTCCTCCTCCTCCGCCTCCTGCCCCCCCGCATCCACCTGCATTTTTTCCGCGACCTTGTCGCCACCGCCCTCCACGTCGAACCCCCGCCCCGACCCTCCGCCACAACTCGCGCCAAACATCCTCCTTTTTACCGCGTTTGTCTTCGACGTTCCTCCTCCTCCTCTTTTTCCTCCTCCTCCTCCTCCTCCTCCTCCTCCTCCTCCTCCTCCTCCTCCTCCTCCTCCTCCTCCCTCTTCATCCTCCGCCATCGCCCTCAACATCCTGGGGCCCAGTCGCACGCAGAATTGTCAAAACCTACTCTTGAATGTGTCCTTTGGGGGCAAACTCTGTTTCACTGCTCACGCCCAAAACTCTGTTGAAGGTCTGATGCATGTCTGCGCTGGAACTCTGATTCGAGTCTGGCCCTCAGCGCCAACTCTGATTTAGGTCTGACTGGAACTCCGATTTAACCCTGGCCCTAAGACCCAAGTCTGATTTAGATTTGACTGGAGTTCTGGTTTAACTCTGGCCCTAAGACCCAAGTCTGATGTGCGTGCCAAAACCCAGTCGCTGGGCACTTTCGCTCGCTCAGACACGTTTCCCCCCCCTCCGTTTTTGCGTCGTCGGCGGGGGGGCCGCGCATGATCGGATTAGCGGTGGTTCTTGCTTCGCGGTGAACAGCGGCCGGGAACCGAATCGCCGCACTGCCCCGCGCAGACTCGAAGACGCGGGGAGGGGCGGGGAAGTTTTTCATCGGCGTCGGGGGCGGCGCGAGGCCCTGTGAGATTTTCAGAGTTCTGGCGGGGTGCGAAAGGGGCCGGGCGGGACCTCGGCGGGGCTTCGGGGTCGCCCCCATGCCGGCGCGGGCGGCGCCGGGGGAACGCTGCGGAGGAGCCTTCGGCGGGCCTTCAAAGGAACCTTCGGCGATCTTGTAGGCCGCGCCAAGATTGTTTGAAGCCATCTGGCGCGACGGCGCTGTCGGGCCACCCGGCGCATTGGAAGGCTGCCTGGGTGGATGCATCCGGGCAGCGGTCTCGGGAGCGCCTTGGCGCTCCCCGGGCCCCCTGGGCGGCTTTCCTGGGCCATGTGGGGGGCCCGTCGGGCGGTCGACAGCCTCGGCGCTGTTTCGGAAGAGTCCCGGGGCAATCCGGAAGCCCTCGGTGCTGTCTTGGAAGCCATCGCTGGCCGTCTCGGGGCGACGGGGCGGGCGAGGGCGCGAAAACCGCCGGATAACATACGGAGCGCACATGGCGCTGCCCATCGAAATTCTCGGGGAAATTCTATGTTTTTTGACGGGGTGCGGGTGGGTAGTTTTGAAACG